TGAAGGAGACAGAGAAAACCCAAAGGAGACAGTTGAGCGGCTTGCTGTGTCTTTGGGTGCTGCTGTGCTGCAGTCCCCTCATCCTTGTCTTTTTGCTGCTGTTGCTGCTGCTGCTACATTTCGTACTGCAGCAGCAGCAGCAGCAGCAGAACTCAAGCATGTACCTATCCTCCATATTGATTGGCTCATCAGCTGCAAGCAGCAGCAGCAAAAGATGCCGCTGCTGCCGCGCTTCGTGCTGCATGCGCCGCTGCTGCTGCAGCAGCAGCTGCAGCAGGCCTTCGATATGTATGGAGATAGTTTTTATAAAGACACCACGCCAAGCGAGCTCAAGTATGCCCTTCAAGCAGCAGCAGCACAGGCTGCTGAAATTCACGACAGCAGCAACAGCAGCAGCAGCAGCAGCAGCTATTGGAATGCGCAGCAGCAACTAGCCAACACGCCAGGAGCATCCCCCTCCTCAACCCGAGCAGCCGGTATACACCTGCAGCAGCAGCAGCAGCAGCAGCAACAGCAGCAGCAGCAGCAGCAGCACGGTGGTATCATTTCTCCAGCTCAAAGAAAGCCTTCGCGTACGTGGCGGGCTATCACTGCAGCAGCAGCAGCAGCAGCAGCAGCACATGATGTTAAGACGCCCACCCAGAGGCTCTCTGCTGCAGCAGCAGCAGCAGCAGCTGCTGCTGCTGCTGCTGCTGCTGCGGCAGGACGATCCCCACACTCTGGTTGCATTGGCTCCCCCACAACACCAGCAGCAGCAGCAGCAACTATAGCAGCAGCAGCAGCAGCAGGAGAAGAAGGAGACAGCATCGAAGAGACAAAGAAGCTGCTGCTTGCTGCTGCTGCAGAAGCTCACAAAGGCGCCGCTTCTGCTCTCCGTCTATGGTAGGATCTCGTGGCCTTCAGGGTGTAGGGTTTAGGGTTTAGGGTTTAGGGTTTAGGTTTGAGGGTTTAGGGTTTAGGGTTTAGGGGAGACGAGGGTTTGCGTTCTGCTGCTGTGAGCGCAGCGACACTTGCTACTACTTCAACGATGAATCCACTGCAGCAGCAGCAGCAGCAGGAGCAGCAGCAACAGCAGCAGCAGCAGCAGCAGGGGGAGCAGCAGCAGCAGAAAGTATATCTCCTGCTGATATGCCTTGGGGGGCATCCGTTTCTTCTGCTGCTGCAGCAGCAGAGCAGCAGCTTTTGCTGCTGAGACAGAGGAAGACAAAGGCCCTGTACACCTGGATTGGGTGGCGGTGAGGAGATGCTAGAAACACTTCTGCTGCTGCTGCTGCTGCTGCTGCTGCTGCTGCTGCTGCTGCTGCTGTTGGTGGTGGTGGTGCTGCTGCCGCTGCTGCTTCTGCTGCTGCTGCTAGGGCTGCTTCGCAGCAAAAATAGTTGCTGCTGCTTGACTACTACTACTGCTACTACTACTGCTGCTGCTGCTGTTGCTAGTTCTAGTGCTGCTGCTGCTGCTGCTGCCGCTAGCTCTACTGCTGCTGCTGCTGCTGCTGCTGCTCGTGTTGGTTCAGCAATGTTTCTGCTGCTGCCGGTGCTGCTGCTTGAGCTTCATTACTGCTGCTGCTTCTGCTGCTCCTCTACTGCTGTACTTTCTGATGTTGCTGCTTCACCTTGCTGCTGGTGCTGCTGCTGCTTAACTGCTGCTGCTGTTGCTGTTGCTGTTGCTGTTGCTGCTGCTCGCTGCTGCTGCGGTGCATGCAGTCCTGCTGCCTCTCCTGCAAGCGCTACGCATGTGGTCGGTGGGGGATCTCCCCATAGGCCGACAGAGGGCCTGCAGCAGCAGCAGCAACAGCAGCAACAGCAGCAACAGCAGCAGCAACAACAGCAACAGCAGCAGCAGCAGCAGCAACAGCCTGCAGCAGCAGGTGCTGCGGGCGGCGTCCTCTCTTGGGAGGCAGCTGATCGCCAGGTGCAGGAGGTTATGACAGCAGCAGCAAATGTTGATGCAGCAGCAGCAGCAGCAAATGCTGATGCAGCAGCAGCAGCAGCAGCAAATGCTGATGCAGCAGCAGCAGCAACAAATGCGGATGCAGTAGCAGCAGCAAGCGCAGCTGCTGCTGGAGATGCTGCTGCAGCTGCTGGGGGGGCTGTTTGTTGACTCTGCTGCTACCTTCATATGGGTGGGGTCCGCCTGCTGCTACAGCTGCTGCTGCTGCTGCTGCTGCTGCTGCTGCAGCTGCTGCTACTGCTGCTGCTCTAGCTGCTGCTACAGCTGCTGCAGGTCGTGCTGCTTCTCCGCCGTCTGTGGTGTATGTACACCTCAGCACTGTATGCGGCTATAAATGAATTTCTTGTTCCTTGTTTTTGTCTCTAACAAAATATATTTTTATTTTACTTTTTTTGTTTTTTGTATATAAACAGCAAATAAACAACAAATAAACAAAAGAAAAACAACAAACAAACAACAAATAAACAAAAAAAAAACAAAAAAATAAACAAAAAATAAACAACTAACACTGCTTTATTCTGTCTCCATATAAACAAATACTATTCCGCGAACAGCTCCTGGCTAGCTAGCTATCGAGCTAGCTAGCTAGCTACCTACCTAGCTGGCTAGCTAGCTAGCTACCTAGCTAGCTGGCTAGCCGTAGATTAACAACGACTAAGAGTGAAGGCATATTACAAAACTAATTCCCTTCTCCTTGTCTGCATGATAAAGAAAGGAAACAGATAAACAAACAGAAATTAAATAAAACACTCAGCTCAGGTGTATGTACACCCCAAAGTCATCAGAAGCTCATACATCTTCAGCAAGAGAGATGTATAGCTGCAGCAGCTGCAGCAGCTGAGCATCTGCTGCTGCTCCAGCTGCTGTTGCCGCTGCTGCGGCTGCTGCTGCAGCTGGTGCAGCTGCTGCAGCAGCAGCAGCTGCAGCAGCAGCTGCAGCAAGTGACCTGCTCCCTGTTCTTTCCGCGGATGCTTCGTTGTATTATGTGCATTGGTAGCTACACACATCACCGAGGGTATAACAAAGCAGCAGCAGCAGCAGCAGCAGCAGCAGCAGCAGCAGTGTAGTATCTGCGTATATCTGTGCTGCAGCAGCAGATGCATCTTCTTGTGTATCCTGTGTTACCTGCCTGCCTCAGT